CTCCATGCTTACAGTCTCAAAAATGGGTGTTCATGAATACAATGTATAAATAAGGGAAAATCAACATTTTAAATATAATATTAGGAATATACGTTCTAGAAGCAATTAAAATAAATTTAAGCTGTCAGGGTCCTAATAAAGGAACTGTGGAAATAAATAAAGACTACCCAAATGAGAAAGAGCAAAGGTTATTTATTCAGAGCTTGCTATAGCAAAGGAGTCAGCGGTCAACCCTTTTATTGGCAGAAACTTACCTGCAGAGAGACGAGTAGGAAAGCTTTGTATGGAGAAAAAGGGTAGGCTTCAAGTAGCCTCTGACTGGAAGCTGTTGCCGTGGAGAAGCTGTAAGCAGGTTAACCGGAAGCAGGGTGGCCTGTACGATTGGCTAGGGGAGCATGCTTGGCTTCTCTGTTGGTCCTAAGTTGGAAGCAGGAGCAAAAGCTAGAGAAGCTCTCAGCTGCTGATCACATCCTGGCTGTTTTGGGCCGATAGCTACTGTTGCTGTTGTTTAGCTTCCTGGACTGGCTGCTGCAGGTTGAGGGTCAGAGTTCTACTTCTATGTATGGTTTTGAGATAGGCTGGGACCTGGGACCTCCTTTACTGGAGTGCTTGCACCTGGACAAATGTGTCCTCCTTAAGCAACGGAATACAAAGAAACTATAAGGGATTAAAAACAACTGCATGCACGCACAGTTGGGGCAAATTATCAACAGTAAGATACAAAAAAGCCAAAGACCAGCTGCCACTCCTGAGGTTCTGCGAGCAAAAGCAGGGTACTGGGCATGATCCTTGCACACAGCAGCACCAAGAGGATGGGCAGACCACCTAAGCCACCCCTCCTCCAGCCCAACCCACCAATCCACACCTACCCTCCTTCCATGTAAGGAACCAGCTTGCCCTACCCATGAGGAGCAAGCAAAGGCACCTGTTAACTTGTTTTCTCTCACTCTTGGTGCAGGATGAATCCCCGTAAAACCTTGCCTGAGTTTTCTCATCTGGCCTCTTATCAATTCCTATTAATTAAAGAGTCCGAGGACCCAAGTCCGTAACCATTTGGCTATTGTCCATTTATATATTCAGTCTCTCAGTGAGAAAGCAGTAGAACATCAGCACAGAATTGCATGACCAAGTTATAATGTAAATTCCTGGATAAAGCCTAAGTAACATATATTCTTTTGGATCTATTTCTGGAAGCTAGAGCTTATATGTGGTATTGAAAGTAACACTAACATGACATACATAATAACAATTAATATTACATTGTGAAGAAGGAAAAGTGTTCATGAAGCACAAAATTAAGTGCAATAAGCATGAATATACTATGAGATACTGAGGAGGAAAATAATCAAAGCTTGGAGTTTCCTAGAGGATCGTGAATGCATGTTAAGTCACAAATAATACATAACACAAGATCAGCAGATCAGCGATCCTAAAGGCAAATTATAATTTTTTAATTCGCCACATTTTTTTCCAGGAAAAAAACCCAACAACTTGGAATAGCATGTTAGAGAAGGCATATATTCCAAAGCATTTATAAAATTAATGACAGGAGAACAAACAAAATTCTAAGCTGTCCCTCCGCCAGGGTAAAAATAATTGCATTTGCTCACTTTACTTGAAAGAATGAAGAATACTGAAACCTCAAAAAAGAGAAAGTAATGCTTTAAACACAGAAAGAAATTTCTCACAGTCCAGTAGTTTGATATGATGATTCATAGTATAGTCTCTAAACTCAGTCTTCTTAACAAATTTTTAAATACATACATACAGTCTTCCTAAGGTCAAGTCCTATCTCTGCCACTTACAAATTGTTTCTATGACATGGAATTCTTGTCATGCTTATGTATCATGTATTTAAACCACGTAGACATAATGCCCAGCACCTTGGTTAATATCACTTCAAAGTTAGCTATAAATACATTATTCACGTAAGAAACAAGCACTGAGTGCTTAATAATGTCTATTCACTATTTTAAACACTGGGGATACAATAGTAAACCAAACAGACACAGTCTGTTTGCATTCTGGAACAAATTAAATGCTATAAAGAAGATTAGCTTAAAGTAAAAAAGTTCCCTCACTGTGATAGTGCAGAGAGGCGTTCTCAGTATAGAACAGACCAGGAAGAACTCTTCGACAAAGTAACCTTTGAACAGAGACCTGAAAACAGAGAAGGAAAAGCCACAGGGCAAGGCAGAAGAGTGTGTTTCACGGAAAAAAGATCTGTGGAGTGTCACATACATTTCAATGCATTCTTAGTCTGTCCCCAAAACAACAAGGCCATATTGGTGAAATGAAGACCATGACATATTTTGAGCAGAGCAATGACTTGATTTTACTTTCAAAGTATTTTACCAGCTGCTTTTAGCAGTATGAACTACAGGAAGGCAAGACAGAAGAAGAAAGATCATTATCTTTGTCAATGTCTCGCCCTCTCTGCCCCCTATATATGTCATCTATCTACCTACCTCTCTAAAGTATATTATATGCATAGTATATGTAATATGCATGTGTTATGTGTATAAAAGAAGAGCTACTATTATATTTGCCTTGATCATTTGAGGTGATATAATGAGAACTCTTTTGGAGAGACCTTTTAAAACCAAAGTAAACAGAGGGTATTTTTTTGATTTGGCTTTTGTTTTCTGTCTTGCTATAATTTTAATAAAAGATCAGGTACCAGTAAAGTGAAATACAATGAAAGCAAGGCTGTAAGGATCTACGTATTCCTGAGTTGGTATCTTGGTTCTGTGACCTTGGGCAAATTATTTAACCTCTCTGTGAGTCAATTGCTTCATCTTTAAATTAGAACAATGCTAGTACCTATAGCAAAGTTGGGGTGTTTTTCTTTGGGTGTGCAGTAAGTTAATATATGCAAATATTTAGAAAATGCCTGCAGTATATATTAGCATTTAATAAATATTAGTTCTTCTTCTTCTTCTTCTTCTTCTTCTTCTTCTTCTTCTTCTTCTTCTTATTATTATTATTATTATTATTATTATTATTGAAGGAAAGAAGAAAAGAAAAAAGGAAAGAAAAAAATGACTTGATTGGCCAAACATCAATGTGGCTCTAAAAGACTATTTTAAGTTCTAACTTTACTAGTAGCATTGTGTCAGTGTAGGTGATTTTGCTCAGCCGCACAGTGGGGAGTCTCTGGGTCAGAGACTCTGAAGGACAGCAGAAGCTTGGGGTCTTTTATAGATCTAGGTTTATCATATGTATGGCTAGCAGGTGCTGAGTGCAGTTTTGCAGTATATGCAATGCAGACAGCCTATACATGGCCTAATCTGAAAAATCTGAGTTTGGTGCCCGAGGGCTTTTGAGCTAAAGGGCCTCAGCCTGCTATGAAGAAATAACTAACATAGGGCCAAAAGACAGAAGCCATCTTTGTCTTGTTTATATAACGGAGCCTCCCACGTTTCCCATGTGGTGTGGACGTGATTGGTTCAGAGCCAAGTTCGTAGTCAGGGACCCTGAAATAGCAGAGTCCCAGAAAGCAGAAGGAAGATCCGACAGAGAAACAGAGAGGTATCCTCTTCCACTCAGGATCAAAGGAAGACTGAGAGGGACAAGGGCCGTTAGTGGGTCTTTTTCAACATAGGGAGGTAAGAGTCTTTGTTATCCTGTCATGGACTTTTGCTGCAAAGGCTATCTGGGCAAAGAGTGACCAAGGGACACCAAAGACAGAAACATTCTGTGCCTAACCTAATAAGAGATCCCATCAGCATGTGGAAAGAAGTTCGTTCGTCTAACACAAAGGGAAATGTTTACAGGAGAAACACTTACTCTGGTTTCTCCGTCTGTTTCCTAGTGCCGAACTGAAGTTCCTGCAGTTTTCACAGTAAATCTGGGATGGAGCTTGCACCACCCCATATAAATGTACGTAGTGGAATTTTCAAATAAAAAGAAACTTTGTGTTCCCAACAAGCTAGCTGAAGGACGGCTTTCACACAAATTTATCTCTCCAAACTGAGCATGTGGGGAGACTTTCATTCATCTAGCAAAAATGGAGCTAATTGCAGGAGAAACATTACTCTGGTTTCTCGGTCTGTTTCCTAGTGCCAGTGGGGAAGTTCCTGCAGTTTTCACTGTAAAACAGAGTTGAAGCTTGTACTAACCCATATATATGAATGTAGAGGAGTTTGCAACTGAAAAGAAACTTGGTCTTCCCAACAAACTAGTTGAAGGACGGCTTTCACACACGCTTATCTCTCAGAACTGAGCATGTGGAGAGACGTTCTTTCATCTAGCACAAAGGGAAAGGGTTAGTGGAGAAACAGTTAGTATAGTTTCTCTGTCTGTTTCTTAGTGCCGGTTTGAAGTTCCAGCAGTTTTCACTGTAAAACCGTGTTTGAGCTTCTACCTTCCCATATACATGTATGTAGTGGGTTTTGCAACTGAAAAGAAACTTTGTGTTCCCAACAACCTAGGTGAAGGAAGGCTTTCACACACACTTGTCTCTAAGAACTGAGAATGTGGAGAGACATTCTTTCATCTAGCACAAATGGAACTGCTTTAAGGAGAAACAATTACCCTGGTTTCTCAGTCTGTTTTCTAGTGCCGGTTTGATATTCCAGCAGTTTTCACTGTAAAACCTAGTTTGAACCTGTACCTCCCCATATATATATATATGCACTGGGGTTTGCAACTGTAAAGAAACTTTGAGTTCCAAACAAGCTTTGTGTAGGAAGGCTTTCACACTCACTAATATTTCAGAGCTGAGCATGGTTTATAATCTGGTATATTCAATTATAAATATAGTAATGTTGTCATTAAATACTTTTATTTGGAATATTTGGGTTTTTAACAGCTTTATTGAGGTATAATTGCTACACAAAGAACTTCAGATATTTAACGTATACCATCTGATGAATTTAGACCTGCGATACCATCACTACAGTCAAGGCAGTAGACAAACCCAACACCTCCCAACGTTGCCTTGTATTCCTTTGCTGTTGTTTTTTAATTTTTCAGTAAGACACTTAACACGAGATCTACCTTCCTAACAAATTTTGAGGTGTACCATATCTATTGTTAGCCATAGGCACTATGTTATACAGCAGATTTCTAGAATTTATTCACCTAGCGTAACTGAAACATGTATTCATTAAACAACTCCCCATTTCCCTCACCATCCCTGGCCCCTGCAACCACTATTCTATTCTGTGCTTTTATGAGTTTGACTATTTTAGATACCTTATATAAGTGGAATCATGGTTAATGCTCAATTAATTTTCATTTTCATAAGTAAATTTCTATAAACATCCAGTAATATTTACAAACTTGATTTTATCAATTCCTTAAGACATTTCAAACTACCTCTGAAAATTTAGTCTATTTTTCTCAACTGTTTGAAACAGCTACTTCTAAATGTAGCCAGCTTCCTGATGTTGGAAAAGTTCTTTTATATCTACTAAATCAGACCAGACTAAATCTTTTCCAGTCCCCTTAAGTGTTTCAAATAAACATAGAGACAAGCATAATGATTTTAAAATTTGTCACTACACCTGTTAAATACAACTTAAACCAATTAATGTTATATTTAAATTTATTCATCTATAAATGCAAACATTAAATGTATTAATGTTACCAATTTTTATTTTAAAAGTCACACGTACAAGCACTCTCATGCACACAGGCATAAATATGGATAATTATAGGCATAGGGGACAACATTAAAAATAAATGTATCAACTACTTAAACACTGACCCATTCATAGACACCTCCCACCTTCTCTCATCCCCACATTCATGGCTCTTACACCACATTCAAACCATCCAAACATGCCCATATCCAAAGCATAAGACTCATTCATCCAAAAGCATACACAGACTCACACCAACATATACATATACAAATATAACTAGAATGCATTTATAAATATTATTGGAATAATATCAATCCTAAAATAATCTTGCCATATTAATCTATTCTAATGCTTTAAATACACATGTGGTATAACAAATAATACCAAAATACTTATAACTGAATTGCTTCATTCAGTATTATAATATAAAATAGTCACATAAAGATTCTTGTGGGATTAGCAATAATATAGCACACCTGTTCCTTTTTGTTTAAAATACATCATTTCTTGGGTGAAGATTATTAGGTCCACATCTGTAACTGGTCATTTTAGTCCCCAAAGTGAACATCATGAAGACTGGAACATACTTGTATATTTCCTTAGATCTTGTCACCTACTTCAGCCTTGTTTCTGATTGTTTTAGACTTTGCATCTTTTAATCTGGACATCAGAGTTTTCACTGCAACATCTGAACAAGCTTATTACAAGCCCATGGAGTTGGAAATGACTGGCTGAGAATGGGCATTACAAAAAGAGCATCTGAGTTGTATACTCAGGAATAGTAGGATTTGCAAAATGAAGCAAATAAAAAAGCCTAATTCATTCTCTTAAGACTGTATTTTAAAATAAAAGAGATAATTTTATATAGTAAATGATTTATTCATTTCTCAAAATAATAACCTCCTGCTAGTTACCTCCTGAATAAAAAAGCATTTTTGTGTCTGGATATAGATAGATAGATAGATAAATAGATAGATTCCAAAGTTAATCTGAGGATACAGTATATTTAAATATACTTCATTATTAATGTTGAAATATGTTATAATTCATCAACAGGTTTATTTTCAGTTTCAGTATGAATTCATAATTAGACCAACCATGGTTTGAACATAGTTTATGTTTGCTGCAAAGAAAATGAATATTTCGTATAATTGAATCATAAATTTTACCCATTATACCTGAACTTTACATCTATATCCTTCAAAAGAGCTCTAACATCCTTAACTGCATCCTGTATTATTTTTGTAAAATAGCCTTGTTTTATAGATTTATTGTGCAATTATTTCAGAACAATATGAGGACACCAAGATACCACATTCATTTTATAAGCATATTTTTCCTGCCATTGTGTTTTACTATTGTATGAGGAACTATATTCCTATAATTTGTATTTTATTTGGATATTGGACACTACATTAATTGAAATTATTAAAAACTTACAGTAGTCCCCAGTGAGAAATCTTCATTTCAACCATTTTGGTAGATAAGGAGATGTACCACCACATCTCCCATTAAGAAGGCTTACTGCCTAACAGTGGAGAGAAAGGTCAGTAGACAGCTTCCAGCCTGTAACTTCTTCAGAGCCTGCGTCATCTGCAAAGAACTGGCCTCACCCAACTTCCTGAACTTCCCAGGGCACCCCATCCAGTGACTGAGAGAGGTGAAGGGACAAGGGCCTGATCCTTTGGGCGCAACAGGGTATCATCTGACAGGCAGCACTCTCTGGAGAGCTCCCTACCAGGTTGACCAAGGCTTTTCTTGACTGCATTCCAGTTTGAGAATTTTTCTACACAAAGCCCATCCCACCCACAACAGCAGCAGTGATTAGGATCTTTTAAAAAATGCAAATTCTCGGCTGATCTCTAACTACCCAATCAGATATTCTGGGAGTGGATATTAGCCATTTCTGGGTAATTCTGATGGACGCTGAAGTTTGAGAACCACTGATCTCCTCATTCCTTCTTCCTCTCCCTCCCCATTACAGATACTAATCTCTAATAAATCTCTTGCAGCCCAATTCTTTCTCAGTACCTGCATGATGGAAACTCATCCTCAGCAACAAGTTTGTTGTACCAATCTCTAACTGAACCAAGGCTCTTAATATCAACCTGAAAATAAGTATGTATGACATTTTAAGAGCTTACAGAACATTATCTGTGGTCAGGTCATTTTTAATCTCAAAGCATCACACTTTCTGTTAGGGAGTACTTACTGACCTTAGTCTGTTAGTTTCAAGCCTACCCTCTATTCTCTGCTCAGTGATGCTGGGGTTGGAAATCTGCAAACCATATTTAGCCATCACCCTTACCAGCTGAGAGTTACTCTCTCCTAGTAGGAGTCACTGGTGGAAGATTAGAAACCTGGAAAGAGGAGAGGGGCTTCCAGCTCACTGGTCTGGTTGACCTCTCTCTGGTTAGGACAGTTAGGTCCAGAATCCAGCTTCTTTGGACACACCCAGCAGTCATGTGTCATTCTACCTGGAGTATGAGTAACAGCCCAGAAGTATGTGTGTGTGTGTGTGTGTGTTTTCTTTACTGACCCTGATACAGAATGTTTTCTCTGAACTGGGGTAAAGTGGAGTGTAAATCATGATACATCAAGAAAATTTAGTGTATACACATAAACATTATGAAGACACAACGTGAGAAGATGTAACAGCATGACAGCACAAGTCAAGTGTTCTTAAAACTCCTATATTGGAAAATTAAAAAATAATATGTTTAATAAAATCAATGTTTTAAGCAGCGATCCTTTCTTCACAGCAGGTATATATACAAAATAAGACCTAGGAAGCATAAAAAAAGGTAACCAACAACATGTAATTAGAATCTGCTAAATTATAATTTATGAGATACACTGAGGAAATTTTTCATTCATTCAAGACTTGTGGTTTCCCCTCTAACACATGAAGTATATAATATGTTTTGTATAAGCTTTGCAATTGGGGCAGTATTTTACTCAGTATTATGGACAACTCCAAATCACTACTGGTATGTATGTATACAAAACTACTGCAGTATGCAGCCTTGAAGATGCTCCCCACCTCATCCCCCCACTGCCCCCTGCCCTCTGGTATTCAAGCCCTCGTGTATTAACCCTACCCATGAATGTGGACTGGACTTGCTGGCTCATTTCTAGTGA